GAGAGTGGGAGTGAGGAATCGGTTGGGAGAGGCCATAGGAAAACCGGTTGCCAATCTGCACGGACGTTGGACATCGGCCGCAACAGTGCCGAGAGAAAAGGGTAAAAAGGGTACTCCGCTACTCCGGTTTTCAGCAGACCGATCTACCTACCTATCCAATCCATTTTCCTTCCATTTTTCCTCCCTCCACCTCTTGGGGGAGGGGATATGGGGAATGGAGGGGGAATGGAAGAGGAAACGCAAAGTGATCGAGCGTTCGAAAAATGGGTTTCGAATTTCGGGGAGGATTATGTCGTGGATTCTGGATTCCGAAAATTCTGATTCTTCCAAGTGTACTACTCTTTGTTATATAGGATCCAATCGAAATTAGATCGATGATAATTTGTTCCCTTCTTCGATCCAGGGATCGATCGAGAATAATCGTTCGATCTTCTTTTTCCTCGATTCTACGCGCATGCGTGACTCGTGCCGTCCATTTTTCGCCGCCGCTTTGCCATTCTTTAACAACTCCAGCCTCCTAAAAGACGCTCGTTAACGTAAAACGAAGGAAGGGAGAAAGAAAGATCATGTGGAAATTCCGTCGAGGCAATTTCGATTCGGTTGTTTCGCGCCTCTGCCTTTAAATATATCTAAATATAGATGATTATCGATTATAGGTGGCAACAAAAATGGCAATCTTGTTGGGCGAAGATGATTTTTTACCACGCGTCAAACTACCTTACTCTTCCCATGATTTATTTACGACCCTCGCTCAGTTATAATTCACGCGCGATATCTCGACGAGACGTTTCGGTCGTAAGCCTTTTTTTTCCTCTCTCTCTTTCTCTCCTTTTATTTACGCCTTGGTGGCGCGGATATGGATACTCTTCGGTGACCTCTTCCCTTGTGGCGGATTTCTACGTCTCCGTAGTTCACGCGGCTGTACCAGCCAAATATGGCGGATACCGGTCGAACCACTCGCGTTGGTGCACGCGTGTCACCGTCACTGCGTGGGCACTCGCCGGCCGTGGTGCGTGTGGAGACGAAGGACAGACGGGAGCACCCACGGGCGAATTCCTCCCTGTTCGACTCTCCGCTTCGTCTCTCTTATACGTAAGCTTCGAACGAACGAATATGTCGTAAAAATTGATTGCCTCGCCTCCGTTTCATACCTCCTATGTTGCGAGGTACGACATACTCGTCCATATCTCGCGCCTCCTTCCCCCCTCCCTCTAGAATCCATCGATTTTTTCCTCGAACCCATCCTCGAAATTCCATTTCGAGCGCATTTTCGTTCCACCTTTTTTTTTTCTTTCCACACTTGCAACTTGAGGAGGTGAAACGCAACGACGAGACGAGTTCGTCAGTAGTTCGGCTTCAAGGATTTCCACCTACCGGATTTACGCATCTGGGACGTAATTTCCAAGATGGTCTCGCGTCGTGTGCAATAAACTAGCAATTTTCGCAGAAGCGTAGTGAATCTTTCTCTTTCTTCTCCTCTCTTCTTGTCTCTTTCAACTTGCCCAAGTCGTTTCAACAATCGGCTTCCCTTCGTCGATATCATCCATTATCGACACCCGATCTCTCGCCTTCTGACCTTTTCGACCGGTCTAACGTTACAAGCGTCCTTCGTTGTGAAGCTGAAGCTTGTTCGCTCGTTAATCACTCGTCTACGCTCGTCTCCTTTTTCTTTCATCCTCGATTTTCTTTCACTTCTCGAAACATTCATTCGCGATTTATCGATTGTAAACGCGATATTCCCATTCCAAGGGGGGAACGAACAAATAATCACGATTCCAAAGGAATCCGTTCCAAAGGATCTGTGTTTTGGACAAAGAGAGAGAGAGAGAGAGAATGTTTTGAGAGAATCTGGAAAGAGGAAGGAGAGAGGCTATGGAGTTTTCGATTTCTACGATTTAAACGAGCAAACGAGCGTGTAACGAAACCCCGGGATAAATGGTGTATTTTACGTATCGAGGAAACGTTAATAAAATTGTAAGCAAGGAGCGCGTTAGCTAGTAGCTGGGGATCACCTTAAACGCAAACTTTACGATGAAATTCGAGATTAACGAAGAATTAATGCTAACGAACGTGATAATTACCGCAGGCGTTCGAAAGGAAGTGCCATAACGTTGAGCGGAATGGGCGATCATAATGGTGTAAAGATAGAAACGTTGACCAAAGTTCTCTCCTCGCGGATCGATTAAAGAGGAGGGGAAGGAGGAGAATTTTCTCGAATAGAGAGATCCTTTTATTTTTCCCATTTCTTCTTTGCAAAGAAAGAAGGCGATGGCGAAGACGTTACCAAACAAAAGCAACACGGCCGCGCGATCCGAAGCCGAGTCGAAGTCGAGTCGAATCGCGCGTACCGATCGATCGAAACGAGAGAATTCGCGTTCGTTTCTAATTTATTGCGATCGGCAATTAACCGAATCGGCGAGCGTGACGTTGACCGATTCCCGAGCGAGAAATCGAGTAGGTGGAGAGAGGTTACGAGACGGGGAGTATTCGATAAGGATTAAAAACTCGAAGTGAGAGAGAGAGAGAGAGAGAGAGAGAGAAAAGGAGAAGCGTGTCGAATATGCATCGCCACGCTTTTGCCCGAGGTTGCCGAGCGTGTTATCGGGAATGAATCGCGCGTATATATGGTTCCCAGACGAGCATCATTCGTGCGTGTCTCTCTCCCTAGAAAATTCCACTGTTCTGCGCAATGATCCCCCCCTATCGTGGCCAATAAATCTGCGCCAACGTTCCAACATTCTGGTTGGAGACTCGTTTAACCCGTGAAACTCGTGGCAATGATTGCCTCAACTCGAATTAAGGATAAATTAAAAAGAAACGCCCGCCGACGCTTCTCTTTCTCTCTCTCTTTCTCTCTCTTTCTCTCTCTCTCCTTCTC